GACGACCTCCTTGACGCTGGGCAGCACGATGCGGCTGCCCTTGCGCCCGGGGAGCGTGTCCTCGACCTCGTCCTGCTCCATCTCGACGTGCTCGTTGCGCCACCACGACAGCGGCCGGAACGAGCTGCGGCCCGAGCGCGTGCGCGTGATGGCGTCCGACTCGCCGGGGACGTCGCGCCGGTTGATGACGAGCCCACTCCGCTTGGGCAGCGGCGCACGCGGCACAATCACCACCGACGTGTCGCCCACGTCGCCGCCCGCCGCAGCCGCCGCCTTTTTTGGTTTCCTCCCCCTTTGCTTCGGCTGGGGCGCCGCCGCTGTCGACGACTCGTCCCCCTCTTCCGCGTCTGGCTCTGCGACGGGTGGCTTGGCGGCCGCCGCGGGCTTTCGTCCGCGCCCCTTGGCAGCTGGCGCTGCGGCCGCGGGTGCGACGCGCTGGCGTTTCGCAGCTGGTTCGGGCTCTGGCTCTGGCTCGGGATCCGGTTCGTCGGCCGTGGCGCTGTTTGCCGAGTGACGCCCTGGCGCCCCTCTCCTGCGCTTCCCTGAGTCGGCCTGCTGCTGCTTTGGAGGCGCGACCTCCTTCGCTTTGCCTTTGGCCGCGGGGCGTCCGCGCTTAGCAGGTACTGGCTCCTCCTCCTCCTCCTCCTCCTCCTCTTCCTCTTCCTCCTCGTCTTCCTCTTCGGCCTCTTCCGGCTCAGGCTCAGCGGGCGGTTCGGGAGAGGAGCGCTTTTTCCTGCCACGCTTACCGGGTGCTGGTGCTGCGGCGGCTTTGGCAGCCGCCGCTGCCTTTGCTTTCCCCGCCGCTGTTTTTGGCACGACACGCTCTGGCTCTAGCTCCGGTTCCGGCTCCGTCTCGGCGTCGTCTACCGGATCGGGCATGTCGTCGTCGTCGTCGTCGTCGTCTCCCACATCCAAGATGGCCAAGGACTCCTCCACCACGGCGTCGATATCGTCGTGGTTGGTCTCACCCTCGTCGTCGTCATCGTCAGAGGCTGCGCCGCCGTTGGGCAGCCGGGAGGCGCCGGCGGGCTTCGGAAGGCCGTGCTCCGTCGCATCGAAGTTGAGGCGGCGCGTCGCTCCCGACTTGAGCTGGGAGGCGGCGCCGGCGGGCGCGGGGCGGCGCAGCGGGGAAGACTCGCCGATGCGCATCGGGGGGGACTGCAGGTTCGTGAGAGCCGGGGACTTAGCCCGGGGGATCGGCCGGCGCGCGCTCTGCTGCTTCTTAAGCAGCGAGCGCGGGTCCGGGCCAGGTGCTGTTGTGGGCGCCCGCGGTTAGCAGGCCAGGCTTCCCTACAGGAAGCGCGCCGACGAGAGCTTACTGTTCTCAATGTCCATGTCCGCCTCGTCGCTGTTTTCGTCGTCATCGTCCTCATCTTCGTCATCGTCATCGCTAGCTCGGTCCTTGCCGGGCGAGTCGAAGATGCCCTTCAGAGGCATGATGCCATTCTCGTCGCGAACCCCGCTGTCTGGGAGCACCACGCCCGTCTTGCGGCCCTGCTTGCCCAGCTCGAAGACCTGCTCGCTAGCCAGCGTCCGCCGGTTGGCCCCGTTTGGCCTCGGCGCCATGGTCAGTTCGGCTTCCGTGCGATTTAGGGATGGTTGCTGTCGCGCGACCGCGATCGCGCTGGCGTTGTGGAGGCCCAAGCTCGGGGACTTTTTTTTTGTTTGTCGCTACGGATTTGCGCAGCTTCAGGCGTCGAAATTTATCACAACAAAACAAACCAATCACGACCAAATCGCAACTGCGGCGGTGCGAGACCCAATCGGCTGCGACGCGCGGGGATAATTATGGACGCAGACGGGCGAGAGGCGAGCTCTGGATTGACAGCAAGCAGTCCTGGCTTGATTGTGGGAGCTGTCGAGGATCGGAGAAGCTGCCTCTCATGGCACGCTGCAGCTTCAGCCGGCGTCCTTTGTTGTCGTCGCTGTGAGACGACGTGAATCTCAGTCAAACTCTCGACGCGTCCGTGCCCCAGCTCCATCAACGGCCCAAGGCGAGCTTGGCTTAGACAGGGGCGGGGCCCTGTCGCTCCAGGGACACTATCCCTACCAATTAACGCGTTCTCGGCAATGGCCAACTTCACGCGTCGCTTGCGACCTCCGAAAAGCCAACAGCAGACCACCCTTCTCTCGCCTTGTTGTAACACCTGATTCCGAGACTCAATTTGATCCTTAATACAGCCGCCGACATGGAAGACACACAGATGGCCGACGACAACCCGAACTTGGCGCTCGAGACGCCCGCCGAGGACGTATTCATGCCGCCCTCCATCAACGAGCCGGCCATCGTCGCGGGCGACTCCTACATACACTTCTCACCCGTGCCTGACTCCCTACTCCCGCCCAAGACGCCGACAGAAGCAACAACAGAAGCAACAGACGCCAAGGAAGACACACAACTCGGCCCACCCTGCTTTCTCGGCGTCGACGAGGCCGGGCGCGGCCCCGTCCTGGGCCCCATGGTCTACGGCGTCTTCTACCTCCCCGCGCCGCTGTCGGACCCGCTGCTGCGCGAGACGCACCACTTTGACGACTCCAAGGTGCTCAAGCCCGAGGTCCGGTCGGCCCTGATGGAGGCCCTCTGCTCCGCCGGCAGCGACCTCTACTCGTCCTGCGGCTGGGCCGTGTCGGCACTGTCGGCCCGCGACATCGGCGCCAACATGATGCGGCCCGCCTCGGCCGCGGCCTACAACCTCAATGCCCAGGCCTTCGACGCCACCGTCGCCCTGATCCGCGGCGTCATGGACCGCGGCGTCAACGTGGCCGAGATCTACGTCGACACGGTCGGCCCTCCCGCCACCTACCAGAAGCGCCTCGAGCGCGTCTTCCCCACAGCCCGCGTCACCGTCGCCAAGAAGGCCGACAGCCTCTACCCATGCGTCAGCGCCGCCAGCGTGTGCGCAAAGGTGACGCGCGACGCCGCCCTCGAGGTGCTGTACAAAACGGTGCTGCGGCCGCCAGCAGCAGCACCGGGCGGCGAGGAGGCGGAGCAAGACGACGAGGAGGGCAACGAGCAGGCCAGCTGGGGCTCGGGCTACCCGTCGGACGCGCGGTGCGTGACCTGGATGAGGCGCAACATGCACCCCGTCTTCGGCTGGGGCCCCGAGTGCCGCTTCAGCTGGGGCACCGCCAAGGAGATGCTGGAGCCGACGGGCACGGCAAAGGTGGCGAGCGTCAAGGTCGACTGGCCCCTCGACGACGACGGCGAGAACGGCCGCATGACCGACTTCCTCGTCGCCGGCGGCAGGGACAAGGACGCAGACGAGCTGGGCACCTGGTTCGGCACCCCTGCCGACGTGGAAGCGTTTTGATTTGCATGGTGCGTGTTTTTTTTTTTTTTTCGGGTATCCGGCGGGAGGCTTCATATGAATGCGTCTGTCATTTGGGCATAATAAGGGGTTAGAATCTGCGACGGCGTTTTACGGCACTTGCTGGCATGGCGAACTGAATACACAGTAATGATTCACATTGTAAAAGGCTGTGCAATCTCCTTGAACGCTCCCCTACCCCCCGACGAAGCGGCTGCCTCTCACCATCTCTCCTTGCTGCCAGCCTGTCGGTCTACACTGGCTCACAGCACAACCGATCACCACTTGCGGCATGATTTACTCCTGCAGATTAGCAGACGGACAAAAGCTCAGCCAGACGCCCATCCAAGTAACCCAAGGTCGCTTGCAGCCATTTTGTGAACTTCACACATCCTCTCCTCCCCCATCGTGGCAGCTGCCCCTGCCGCGCCTGCCGCCCCTTCCTCCCTCCCCTTCCGTCCCTTCCCCATGATGAGAATGGAACTAGCCAGGACTAGGGACCCGCCGAGATTCTGAGCTCGACTCCCCGGGAACGGAGATGTGATCAATGCCCTGCCACGGTAAAGTCAAATGACTATCACCTTCTTTTTGTAGCCCTTTTGTTTTGCTTCCCTGGGTAGGCTGCATGGACGATGTGGTGAAGAATTAACGCTTTGTCTTTTATTTAACGGCGTTGAAACTCACGTGCATGCAAAGGAGAGAGCCAAGTTACGTCGTGCCATTCTGGATAAAGACATTCGTTCTCGTGGCAAAATGTTGGGCGGGTTAAAAGTAAAATGTGTGCCTGTTTGCTATGAAGTTGTAAGATGGATGAGGCGAGACAGTTTAGGGAACCGGCACCTTGAATACACACCGCCGTGTCAAATTATCGTCAATCTTCCATTTATAGGTTCATCCATCCCGTCATCTTCCGCCCCGTTGGCCAACTACAAATTATGTGCCAACTGTGCCGAGTGCCCATGGAGGGACGTTTAAAGGAGTCCGTCTAGTGTTCCATCCTGACCGTCTATACACAAAATGCCTGTCCAGCCCGATAGCCAGTCGCACAGGCGCCATTAACCATATTCCTACCCCTTTCGTTGTCCCCTCAAGGGTTCATTGCGTGAGAATAGTGTGTTCCTCGTAAGACTTAAAATCGTTGCAGCTTCCGGAAACCCATCGTGCTCGTCATCCCCTTGTGGGCTCATACATCTTAAATCTCGTCGTCGTCGTCGGACCTCGGCGTCCGCTTCCTTCCTCTGCTGTCCAGAGAGTCCATCTTGACCGAGTCGCCGTTCATGGCCAGCGCCTGCCTGGCCGTATCGTTGTTGGCGACAAAGTCCCTGAGCTTCTGCTTGAAGATCTCGCCTCCCTGGTTGGCTGCCGCAGAGCTCATCTGCATCATGGGCCCCAGGAGGTTAAGGGTGTAGGCGACGTAGGCGCCGCCAGAAAAGACTAGGAGAAGAATGAACATGGCAGGATTGCGCAGAACTACTCGGCTTGTCAGCTTGTCGTTTCACTTTAGGTCAGCTAGGAGCGAATAGAAACTTACCCATCCAGATCTCGTTCCAGCCCAGGACAAGGAGCAAGACGTAGAAGTAGAGCGGCACCTGCGTCATACCGCCGAGAGCACCGCGTTTGGCCTCGACGTAGACGCCATCGGCTGTCTTCTTGAACCGCACCACCAGGTCCTGACGCTTGGCTTCGCTGAGCACTGTCATCTCCTCCTCGAGGCTCTTGCCCTCGTCTTCGTCAATGCCTCCGATAGGCGTCAGGTCCTCCTCATCCTCAGGCTCTACGCCCCCCGGCTGGTGTCCCACCCACCCGGGAAGGTCTGGCAATGCGGAAGTGGCCGAGAGCCGGAATTTCGACAGCAGCGGTATGAGCGTGAGCGTCGACTCGCGCGCCCGTGTGTAAATGCCCTCGATATCGTCTGTCGGCCGCCAGATCCTCGGAACTCCGGCCTCATCGTACCTAAACTTGTCCTCGAAGTTCTCCCGCAGCTTGAGCAGAATGTTGCCCTCCATAACCTCCTCTTCAATCTTCTCCCGAAGGGCTATCCAGCTCTTGCGCCGCAGCCGCCACAGGCCGACGTGCACCTCGTCATCGCTGGCCTCAAAGCTCTTTGCCCGGTCTGCGAACCGTTCCTGCGCCTCGGTGACGACGCCAACAAACACAGTCCAGATGCGGTCCCACAAGTCTTTCTCCGTCGGCTTCTCACCCGACTCAGGGGCGCCTGTCCCCCCGCGCCCTGAGCCGAGCTTGTTGAACTCGAGCCCGATCGAGTCTCCGAGGCGCGACTTGACCCAGCGCTCCACGCGCGTGGCCAGTCGGCGCATCTCGTCCTTCCGCAGGCGAGCACTAGCCTCGTCTAGCTCCTTCTCGAAGAGAACGTACTGACTCCTGAAGTTCGTCCAGGAGACGCCCTCGATCAGCAGGCTCTTGGCCTCCTTCTTGAAGAACTCGAGAGTCTTCCGCTTCTGCTTGTCGACAATCTCGGCAAACTCGTAGGAGCCTCCGGACTTTTGTCCAGCCTTGACAGCGTTGGTAACGGCATCACTGAAGGTGGCCACGCCGGCCTTGTGGACCGCCGACACCTGCCCCATGTACAATGCCTTGAGGCGCGTGTCGATCTTGGCTTCGAGCTCGGCCCCTTTTCTGGCAGCGACACCCTTGTGGTAGCGGCACGCCAGCTCCTTGAAGCCGTCGACCGCCTTGGTGCGAGCGGTGCTACCAGTCCGGCCGAGGTCGGGCAGGACCGACGGCTTGCCCAGACGGGAGGCCTCGGCCTGTTGGTCCTCGAGCGGCACGATGGCCTCGTCAAAGGCGATGAGAACCTCCCTCGCGATCTCGTCGCAGCGGAACTGGGCGAGCAGCTCCTGCTGCGTGGGCAGGTCCAGGTCTTTGTTGTGCACAATCTGGTCCCAGATGCCCTCGGCATAGATGGAAAAGCCGTCGGCCGGGATCCTCCGGTGGTACTCGGGCAGAAACACGCCACCCGCGAACTCCTGATCCGGGGTCGACCGATGCCCGGTAACAAACCTCGATCCTAGCCTTTGCACTTCAGAAACAAACTTCTCGGGCTGGAGGATCTTGTGGGGGAGGGCGGCGAAGGCAAAGTCGAAGTAGTCCTCGATCTTGGCGTGCTCAAGGGCCTGCGGCTTGGAGATGGTAGACCAGATCTTGGTGAGGTCCTGGATCAGGGTGTCGCGCAGGTTGGCGAGCGGTGTGTTCCCGATGTGGTCGCGGATGACAAAGAACAGCAGCGAGCGCGGGGCCGAGGCCTTGTCCTTGAGGAACAGCTGCAGGTTGACCTCGAACACCGTTTTGAGCAGGCCCATGTTTGCGCCCTGGTACAGGCCGACCTGGTGCTCCCAGATGTTGACGATGAGGACCTCGCTGGTGGCAAGGGCGAAGAGGGCGCTCTTGCGCTCAAAGTCCTGGTCCTCACCGCGCTCGCGGCCGTCGGTGCCCTCGACGTCCATAACGAGGATGTTGTCGGCCATTTTGACCTCGCCGGCGCCCTCGCGCTTGTTCTTGGACATCCATATGCCCTTGGTGGTCTGCCGGCGCTCCGTCTCGGACATGACGCTGAACTCGGTGCCGAACAGGTTGTTGAGCAGCGTCGACTTGCCCGTCGACTGGGAGCCGAAGACGGAGATGAGGTGGTAGTTGAACCCGGCATCGGCCACGTGCGTGTGCTGGAGGTAGTCATTGACCTTGACGCTGTTGGGGCGGCGCGCGGCGCAAGCCGTTAGCATAACCGTCACAGACCGCCAACCTTGATGACCCCTTGTTTTGCTGCGTCTGGTTCCCGCGGGCCGTCTCGATTGTCCCCACCGCGATGCGACTCACTTGAAGAGCTTGTCCTCATCTATGACCTGGATGCCATGCTCGAAATCCTGGGCCGTCGGCTCGCTACCGACGGCGGCGAACTTGCCGTTCATGATGCGCGGCTCCGCAAAGCGGCAAGCGAGGGAGGCTGCAAGGGGGTATTGGCAGGCGACGAACGAGAGGGTGGTTTCTCGAGCAGGAGGATTGCAAAAAGATTCTAGCGACCAAGGGAGCGAGTGTGGTCCATATTTCTGCTGGCGGGTTGTCGCGTTGGTTGTGCTGTTGGAGCGAGCGACTTGTGCAGCACCGGTCGTTGCTTGGGGCGACTTGTGAAGACAAGATTTGGGACACTTCATCAAATGTTAAAAAGCGTGCCACTGGTCAATGACGGGGGAGCCGAATCGGGCCTGGAGTTGCCAGGGGGGCAGCCACGACTCAGGTGGCGAGCGCTGGATGCGGGAGCGTTGCGGGAAGTGACATCTGACGCTCAATTCAGACGCCCAATTCCCATCCACATGTTCACGCTAGGCCCGTTCTGGCCGAGACACCATGCAGCCCCACCTCAGCGGCCTGCTTGATTGGATGCGCCGCAGCCACGCGGAGCCCTCTCCTGCCTTCAGCATCTGACCAGACATCCGTCTAGCACCCCCTATTCCATCTCACAAGGCCAGCCCAGTCATTCGCGAGAAGCATGGTGGAAAAACTCGGGGGCAAAGAATGCGCAGAGTGCATGGCCGAACCATTGGCTCTCATTGACAAAGAAAATACGTGTAGCAGACATGGTGACTGTTCACGGAAGCTGAGATTTCGTGCTATTGTCCCTTCAGCTCTGTCCTTCCACTGTCCATTGGCTGTCCAACGACCATTCACAATCCTCAGCTATACTTTGATAACAGCCTCTTCATGATGGACATGGCGCCTCCCCTATAGCCTCCGCCGAAGATAGCAAAGTGGTTTAGATGATGGTACCTGTAACAGAGGAAAGTCAGCCTGGTATAAACACCGTATATTGCGCATCAAGGAGGGAACCAAGCACATACAGTTCGTAAAGAGCGACCCTGTCCTCGAACTCCTCCACGGGTTCCGACTTTGGGACGAGCTCCCCGTAATCTTTCCAGAACGCCGCTCCAAACCCGCCAAACATCCTCATGATGCCCAGGTCGTACTCGGAATGCCCGTAGACCGAAGACGGGTCAAACACCACCTCCTCTGGCCGCCCATGCCCGGGCCCGCCCACGATCCTGCCGACGCCGTGGTTCCCGCTCCAGAGGTCCCCGTGGCACACGACAGGGACGACGCCGCGCAGGTGCCCGTCGCCCAGCAGGCGCGGCACGACCCTCGCCGCGGTGGCCTCGACGGCCCGCTCGAGCTCCGCGTCGGCCCCGTTGGCGCGCGTCCCGGCCCTTGCGATGGCGCGCAGGCGGTTGTCGGCGTAAAAGTCGGCCCACGACCCGCGCCAGCCGTTCTCCTGTGCCGTCGAGCCGCAGCACGTCGGCACGGTGAAACCGAACATGGCCTGCTGCGGCGTCCCGTCTTCCGCGGCCGCCTGCGGCGCGGGTGTCGTGTGCAGCTCGGCCAGCTTGGCCGCCAGCGACGTGCCATCCGCCCCGCCGCCGCTGCCGCTGAGGTCCAGGAAGTCGGTCGCGAGAAAGAATTTGCCCGGCGACCCGGCCATGGCGCCGTACGCGTGCGACCGCGGACAGAAGCCCGGGACGGCGTCGTGAATGGCGTTGAGCGAGGCGTGCTCGCCGCGGAACATGACCTGCGCGTCGGCGCCGCTGCCCGTCTTTATAAAAAAGGCCCTTTGCTCCTGCTTCCCATCCCCGCCGGTCGCTGTCCCGGCGAGCTTGAACGTCGATGCGAAGCCGGAGCCGCCGTGCGTTGTCATCTTGGCCGTGCCAGGGTCGAGCTTCAGGGCCTCGAGAATGGCTGGATCGACACCGTTGGGCGCCATGATTGTTCAGGAACCCAGTTTGACTATAGATCGGTCTCTTGCAGTTTTTGGTTAGGTTGGGCTCATTTGAAGTATGTGATGAGGCTTGTGAGGGATTGTTAGACGGGTTGCAATCGTCGTCACCCGTGAAGCCAAAATGACGTCAAATCCACTGGATGCGACCTCTGCTCAAGAGAGTGATTTGAGAGCGACAGAGCAACCAATAAAGCCGTTGAAGCCCAGTGATTTCATTAGTCAAGCCACAGACAGCCCATTCCTCTCATCCTGCAAAATGCAGGTTCATCCTCTTCCTGCTGGTGAAGGTTTGATAACCCACATGTCAATGATTTCATGCAGGAGTGATGCGATGTGTAACCTTGAGCCCTCCAGCCCCACCTCGAGTCAATTGAAATCGCATCGCTCCCTGCATTTGACCGAGATCGCAGGCGCAAATGGACACATACTTGCCCAACGCCCCAAGAAGAGAAATGTTGGCAAGGGAAATTTGGTGTCAGGGAGCCGCCCAAACAGTGCAAGGTGGATATATGCAATATAACCAGTAGCCAGAGTCTAATTAACAAGCCCGTGTTCGCAAACCAAGATATTGCCCGCCTTCGTCAAGAAAGATGATACACCGGGGAGGAACCAGGGAAGGGGTGAAGAAGGAACCGACCAATCTATAAACCTATTTGCCCACATCAGATACCCAGACTGAACTCGACACCGACGTCGATTTCCCGAGCTGTTGAGCAGGAAGAATCAAGTTAGTCATCTTCTTCTCGGACCACGGCGGATATTACCAGATTCAACTTACCCATCTTGACAACCTTTGACAGCTGGACCGACTTCTCGGCGGCGTTCTGCAGGTCGTCAATGGAAAAGATCTTCATGCCAGAGTCGTTGATGATCTGGTGGGCCTGCTCCATGTTGGTGCCCTGCAGACGAGCGATGATGGGGATCTTGAGGTTGAGCGACTTGACGGTCTGGATCAGGCCGTTGGCGATGTGGTCGCAGCGGACGATGCCACCAAAGATGTTGACAAAGATGGCCGTGACCTTGGGATCACTGGTAATGAGCTCAAAGGCCTCCTTGATGGCGGCCGGGGTGGCGCCGCCACCGACGTCGAGGAAGTTGGCTGGGGCGCCGCCGTTCAGCTTGATGATGTCCATGGTGGCCATGGCAAGACCGGCACCGTTGACCAGGCAGCCAATGTCGCCGTCGAGCTTGATGAAGTTCAGGCCCGACTCGGCGGCGCGCACCTCGTCGGCGTCCTCCTGGGTGGTGTCGCGCAGCTCAAAGATCTCCTTCTGGCGGAAGTCGGCATTGTCGTCGAAACCGAACTTGGCGTCCATGCACATGACCTGGTGGTCCGACGTCTCGGACAGCGGGTTGATCTCGATCTGGGTCATGTCCTTCTCGAGGAAGATCTTGTACAGCTTCTGGATGGTGTCCTTGGCCTCCTCGATGCACTGCTCGCTGAAGCCCAGGTCCTGGGCGATGCCGCGCGCGACGTCGTCGGTGACGCCCTTGTTGATGTCGATGTAGGTGGTGGTGATTGCGTCGGGGTTCTCCTTGGCGACGCCCTCGATGTCCATGCCACCCTGCGACGAGGATACGATGACGGGGCCCTGCGAGGCACGGTCCATCAGGACGGCCAGGTAGAACTCGCGGCGCGCAAACTTGCGCTCGCAGATGTAGACGGCGTTGCACAGGCGGCCGCCGGCGCCCGTCTGCTTGGTGATAAGCTTGTGGCCGATCATCTGGTCGGCGAACATCTTGGCCTCGGTGGGCGAGTAAATGACACGCACACCACCCTTCAGGCCGTTGTCGAAGGTTCCCTTGCCGCGGCCGCCGGCCAGGACCTGAGCCTTGATGACCATATCATCACTGCTGATATCCTTGGCCACCTTCTCAGCTTCGGCCGCCGTCCTCGCAACCTGACCTGCGGGCACCGAGATGCCGTACTGCGTGCCAGAAGAGCGCCATTGTTAGTTCTCGACCCGGCGCGGAGAGGGGGTCGAACAGCCGCGAGGCCATGGGGTTGCTAGGGTTCGGTGCGTCGTACCTTACGGAGAAGGTCGGCCGAGAGGTACTCGTGGATGCTCAGAGCTCTGCGTTGTTGCTGGGCGAGTCCGGGGAGTCTGGAGGAAAGAGCAGGCTACGTGGTAGGGGCGCCAGGTCAGCAAGGTGCCCGCCGGCCAGAGTAGAGTGCCTCTGGAGCAGGAGGTACAAACCTTGGGCACAGCCGAAGCCAGAACTCTACTGCGAGCGAGCTTGAACATTGTGAAGAAAAAGTGGCAGGTCAAGTAGAGGGGGGAAAGAAGAATGGAACGTCGAGATGAGACAGACAAGCACCGGGTTGTCTGTTCAATTGGCTTCCTTCAGCGCATCAACCGACGTTGGAGTTGGTTTCGAGGCTTTTTTTTTCAGCTTGTCTGCTCAATCGCAATCTGAGAAAATGACCAAATGCACGTTGCACGAGCTTCCTCCAGACGTCACGGGAATTTCCGGGGCCAATGGCTGTGCGTCAGACGTTGGTTGGAAGGCAGAGCTGGATCCGGATCTGATTAGCCGAGCGTGCGCAAAGTGGGCTGGTGCTGTAGTGGGTCAACGGCTCCAAGGAACGAACCCGGGAACTCTCGGGCTCTCGCAGCATGGGAATAGCATCAAAAAATGCCCATTCCGGAAAGTAAAAAAGGATGAGACAACGATGATAGAAAATGTCTCTGAGGCCATGCCAATCCGATGATATCGAACAAATATCTTAACGAACACCCCCGTCGTATCCATTAGCGCGTTTACATTTTTCGCAATACGAGTCAGTCTTTTCTCCCTTCGCTTTCGCAACCCAATGGAACTGGCAAGAGCGTGTTCGTACAAGATAGCGGAAAGCCGCACTCACAAGCGATTGCGAGCTACAACAACTTGACTACGCTCGTCCCAAGGAATGTATACGCAACGCTTACACTGGAATGGTCGCTAATATTTCCAATTCTCCAGCGCGGCTGTATCCGCCACCAGGTTGGCTGCTTCGCTAGACAAGAACCAGCGCTCGAAATTCGATGGATTAACGTTGATGAGAGCCGAAAGGCACGCAATCTCGGATACTTTGGCTCTCAAATAAGCCGCCTGTCAAGAGATATATCTGGTTCTGAAGAATGCACAGGCCGACATCGTTTACTACGGACGTTCCTCTTCTTCTTCGCAAAGCTGAGTCTTTCGCAGGGCTCGGGAGTGTTCTGTCGTCCCAGCTAGCGTCTCTTTCACAGAAGTGGCGTCCAGGTTGTTTTCAGAGGGCATGTGCCCGTTGTCAGACACCCAGGTTGGAAGGAGTCTATAGGTATGTAGATGAACGGGAACACTAACAAACAAATCTCTAGCCATCGGATCACTCCGAGCAGACAAGAAACCAGCCTCGACGTGTTTCTATTAATAAAACACATGTGCCCCCTGCGTATCCAAGCACCAGTGTTTGAGCCCTCGTCAAAGTTGAGATGACCTCCTCTGTATATGCGTGCCAGGGACACGCGCACAGTTACGTACCTAAACGCAGGCACATGCGATATGTACTCAGGCCGGACCGAGGTATTCAGGATTCGCTCTCCCCAATGCTGCTCGCGAGTTGGCAACGAGCAGACCTCATTGGCTGCGAGATACATACTTTGGTGCGGGGAAGCTGCGTTTCAACTACCCGACGACGAATGCTCTCCGCCGCCATCTGAGCGAGTGTGTGTGTACTCTTCCCAACTCGCTCTCCTTGCGAGCCGACAGGTCTCGAATAAGAGATGATCACATGAGCGCGATATATATACAGTACATAGGTACATACTTGGGGGTCGCTGCAAGCGATCAGATGGCCTCGACCGGAGGCCGAGACTGTGAGCTGACAGGTTCATCTGTGCTGCTTTGTATTTAAGGGGTAAGGTCGCCCATCCAGAGGTGTCGTCCATAGGATGGCAGCTCCATTCCCCGACTCTTTGAGAAAGAAACAAGACCGTGAATAATACCTCCAAGCAGCGGACATTCGTAATGGCGTGGGAGAAGCTAGCCATGCGCCCAGGCTACCTCGTCTTGGGGGCCCTTGTAGCCTTCCTCGTCCATTATTTTGTCCGGAAAGCCATGGTCGACCGCCGGATCCGGCAGCTGGGCGCCGTGAGGGCCCCAAGAATAGCCGGCAACCCGTTTTCTGGTAAACCTCGCGTCTCCCCTAGATCGGTATACTCCATAGAGCCCGAACAGCAATACTGATACATACACACTCACACTCGCACACAAAAAAAACAGCGCTCGTCTGGTTCATACGAGCCGGCCGGAAGCAGATGAGTAACGACCTGCTCGCCCTATTCGACAGCATCTACGAGGACGCGACGCCGGCGAGCCCCAACTGCGTCGAGATCTCGGTCGCGCCCTCGATGCGGTTCCTCATGACGCGGGAGCCCGCGCACGTCAAGGCGATGCTGACGGGCAAGTTCTCCGACTTCGGCAAGGGCCCCAAGTTCCACGAGGTGTGGTCGCCGTTCCTGGGCGACAGCATCTTCACGACCGACGGCGCGCGGTGGCACGACAGCCGGGCCCTGATCCGGCCCATGTTTGTGCGCAACCGTGTCCGGGACCTCGACATCTTCGACCGCTGGATGAACGTGCTGCTGGGGAAGCTGCCCGAGCCGGGAGGGACAGTCGACGTGATGGATCTCTTTTACCGCATGACGCTCGACGTGACCACCGACTTTTTGCTGGGCCACTCGGTCAACTCGTTGGACAAGTGAGTGTATCGACCTTTGTCTGTAGATGCGGGCATGAAACTAATGGGTAACTTCTCATGATGCAGCCCCAATAACGACTTTTCCCGTGCCTTTACCGACGTCCAGCGGGTGCAGATGATGTTGACAGTCATGGCGCATGTCCCCCCCCTTGCTCCTCGTTCCGGTTTCCGCCCATTATCCTGCCGATTCCCAGCTAACGTTCTACAACCACCCCCCAGGCCGCTGAAGTCTTTCGTCCCCACCAAGAAGTACTACGCCGGCATCAAGGTAATCGAGCGGTTTATGATGCCCTTCATCGAGCAGGCCCTCGCCCTCCCGCCGTCTGAGCTGGAGAAGCTCTCGTCACCGGACAGCAACAGCAACAGGGAGGTGACCTTCCTGCACAGCATCGCGCGGTACTCGCGCGACCCCAAAGTGATCCGGGACCAAATCATGGCGGTGCTGCTGGCAGGGCGCGACACGACGGCGGCGACGCTGTCGTGGTGCGTGTACGAGCTGTCGCGCAGCCCGGCCACCGTTGCGCGCCTGCGGGCCGAGATGGCATCCGTGACGGGCGGGCGCCGGCCCACCTACGAGGACCTCAAGGCCATGACGTACCTGCGGCACACGCTCGACGAGACGCTGCGCCTGTACCCGGCCGTGCCCTACAACATCCGCGCCGCCGTGGAGGACACCACCCTGCCAGCGCCGGCGCCGGCGGGGGGGCCGGGAGGCCAGGAGATTGCGGTGCTCAAGGGCGACGTCGTGGTCTACAGCGCGCTGTCGATGCAGCGCCGTGCCGACCTGTACCCGCCCGCCGGCCCGGGCTTCCCGGACCCGGCCGTCTTCTGTCCGGACCGGTGGGACCGCTGGACGCCCCGGCCGTGGACGTACGTGCCCTTCAATGGAGGGCCGCGCATCTGCGTCGGGCAGAACTTTGCCATGACCGAGATGGCCTACTGCTGTGAGTGGAGACCGGGGAGCAAAAGCGTCAGTGCTTGGATCCAAGGGTGCTTGGCTGACGATGATGTCTGTGACACTTGATGGTCACAAATAAAATAAAAAAACAGTGGTGCTGCTGCTCCAAAAGTACGACAGGATCGAGTACAGGGGCGACTGGCACGCCCAGTTTTACAAGGCCGAGATCGTGGGGGCTCCCGGGCAGGGAGTGCCGGTGGCGTTCTTCGAGGGGGAGGACGGGGTGGCGGCAGCTTGATGATGATTCGTTGCAGCTCCGAGGGATGAAACCGGATGGAATTCCGAAAAGGCGCGCAAAAAGTGCCTGGCGCCTGAACGTACCATGGATGGCGGGACTGGCCGAAATCGACCGGAAACTTCTTGGGTGTGTGTCGAAATGTCGTGCAGGATTGGGGATGGCGACAGAGCTGATGGCGTCAGGGGCGGGCTGCGATCCGATTAGATAGAGGGTATCTCCACTTTATTTTCAATTCCTCCATCGCAAATCCGCGGCAACTCGAGTTCATTCTCTTGTCTCCTGTCTGCCTACCACCCGTACTTTACAAAACGTCTCGGCTGGCAAGTCGAGCACTATAAACAAAAAAAAATGGCGCCCTCAGACGAGTGCCACGACCGTCCCAAACTCCCCACACACACGACCGCCACGGAGCTCAACAACCGCATCGCCCTATCCCTCGCCCGCTTCTCGAGCCTCACAGGCCTGCGCAAACCCACGTCCTCTTCCGCCTCCTCCTCGACAAAAAGAACCAACAACCCATCCGGAACCAACCCCGCCCCCTCATCCTTCTCGTCCCTCAAGGCCGCCGCGGTGGTGCCGAGCACAGAGCCCGCAAACTGCAAGCCCAGTCGATCCCGCCGCGCCGCCGCCGCCGCAGCCGCAGCAGCAGCAGCGGACGACGACGGCGACGACGACAGCATCGCCGTCCTCCGCGGCGCGGCCGGCGCGCCCAACGCGGGGCTCGGCCACGTGCCCGCCCCCGCCGCCGCCGCGACCAAGACCGG